ACACTACTATTGGACCCATATCATGGACCAACCAAACTGGATTGGCTGTTTTCTTAAAATAAGTTTTCAAAAACAGAGAGAAGAGAAAAGAAATTAAAACTGTCCGCAACACTAAACTTTCCACACTTTCACTTCATTCGATTACGATTCGACGCGAAAGGTACTCATCACCGGGTTTGGTTTTGGGGAGACACAAATGGGTGTCTACAGGCGTATATCACAGAACCGGGCTTAGTTACCACCCTCAAACTAGTGGTCAAGTTGAGGTCTCTAATAGGGAAATAAAGGCGATCCTAGAAAAGGTAGTAGCCAAGTCAAGGAAAGATTGGAGTATGAAGCTCGATGACACACTTTGGGCATACCGAACAGCATTCAAGACATCAATTGGTACTTCTCCTTATAGATTAGTCTATGGTAAGGCATGTCATCTTCCCGTGGAATTGGAGTACAAAGCTTTTTGGGCGATCAAGGAGCTTAACATGGACTCTAAGGTCGTGGGTAAGAGAAGACTCCTCCAACTCAATGAGTTAGATGAGTTTAGATTCTCAGCATATGATAGTGCGCGAATCTACAAGGAGAAGACCAAGAAGTGGCATGACAAGAGGATCTTACCAAGAGAGTTTGCACCAGGTGATAAGGTTCTTCTCTTCAATTCTAGATTAAAGATTTTCCCAGGAAAGTTGAAGTCTAGGTGGTCCGGTCCCTTCACTGTCACAAGGGTGAACAAATTTGGCTCGGTAGAGTTGGTCAATGACAAGGGTGAAGAGTTTAAGGTAAATGGGCAACGACTAAAGGTGTATCATGAGGGCGCTACTAGTAGAGATGTGGAGGAAACCTTCCTAACTCTACTTCCAACCTGAGCATCAAGGTGGTAAGAGGGTCGTGCAGGACCTAGATAAACCAGCGCTATGCGGGAGGCAACCCGTATTTCTTGCTTTCTAGACTAGTTTTCCTTTTTATTTATTTTTTATTTTTATTTTAGAGAGGCGAGGAGAGTAAAATTTTACCGTTTATAAGTGTTTTTTGTACAGGTATAGGTTTAAGAGGCCAAAAGACTTAGAAAAATTTGAAGACGAAGAAAAAGCTAAGGAAATCTGACTGGGCAAGGGCCCGATCGGGCGCGCAAGCAAGGCAAAATTCCAGCCTTAAATTCGCCCAATCGGGTGCGCAACGAGAGTTGGAAATCGGAGCATATTTCGCTCGATCGGACGAGGTTGCCCGATCGGGCGCGCAAGTGCCTTTGGTACCTACGTCAACTACTCATCAGTCCATGGTTATGGGACCGATGTACCTTTTGGTGGGCTTGGGGGAATGTGGACCCTAACTACTTTGCAGGTGGTTTGGGTTATGGAGGTGGTGGCTCTAGCCATGGAGGAGCCGGTTCTAGCCACGGAGGGGGCTATTCGAGGATGGATGAGGATGAGGAGTAGGCTACACTCCCAAGTCAATGAGGGCATTGCTTGATTTGGCTTTGGGGGTGTTCTTTCACTTGGTAATTCTCTTCCTTTTCTCTTTTTATTTGCTTTCTAGTTTAGTTTTTATTGCTTTCCTAGTGTAGTTTTTATTGCTTTCTTATATATGAAAAATACAAAAAAATTGAAAAAATAAAAAAAAATTCAAAAATATGTTCCAATGAATTGTAAATCATGCTTCCCTGTGCCCCATACTTGAGAAAATTTGTTTTGATTCTTGGTTATTGATAATGAGCATTGTGGATTTGTTGGTCATGATTTGAAGTTTGATTGCTTGGATTCCTAAACATGAGTCAATTTTTCCAACTATTTGTGAATATAGTGCTTGACTAGTTGATTTGGTTAGGAAATGTGTGATAGTTCCATAATTCCTGGTATGTCAATGAATTTGAGTATTGATTTGCAACTATGAGTAGTGTTTCATGACTTATTATTATGCACATGAGGAGGACGAAGGCGTTCATTCTTTTAGGTAGCCTTCAGAATATTAGATACATTTGTCCCCTTCTTGTTACCCATGTTGTTGCTTGTGCCCTTTTATTGTTTATTTAGCCACATTACAAGTCTATATGAGCCCCATTGGTTACTAGTCCCAAGCTTGGCTTGGGGGAGCTATTAGTTGGTGAAGTGAGGGAGTTGTGGTGTGTATATTATTGGCACAATGTGGGAATAAAAGAAGAGTTATTGTTCTTTGATTTTTGATTGGAAAATATTGATATTGTGTTTCAAAGTTGAATTTTCCAATATCAGTTAAAAAGAAAAAAAAAAGAGCAAAAGAAAAAATTAATGCTCAAGTGTTCTATTTGAAGGTTGTTCAAAAGAAAAAAAAAAAAAGAGGAAAAAATTCAAGTAGAAAAAAAAAAGAATGAGTTCAAAGTTTGTTTTTCACTCAAAGTTCTACATTATCATATTTTTATGAGTGATTATTGTAAGTGTTGGGATTGTTTATGATGATTAAAGTTGTATTTGGTGGTTTTTGTTGGAGTTAGTTATGTTGATGGAGATGTATGATCATCATTTATTTTGATCATGGGTTTATTAGGATTTGGCTCCCTTAATGCATAGCTTTTCTCTCACATAATCCCAAATTTATCCTACCTTTACCCTAGCCTTACATTACAAGCTTTAAAGACCTTCCGACCTTGTGCATAGAAGTTATGTAAATGTGAAAGTGTTGTTTATCAATGCAAGTTATGACTTGGCATATTTCGAGTCGACTAGTAGGATGAGCGTTCATTGTTTTTATACACACGAGAGTGTGAGTTGGGAGGGCATTGTTCACATTAAAAGGGTTGGTTGGAGAGCGATCGAGTGCATCTTTTACTCACCACATAAAATGAGAGTTGAGTGTGTGAGCACTAGTCTTGAATTCTATATGCTCTTGTGGTTTGCTCTACTTGACAATTGTTGGGGAGGAAGGGTGATTAGATGAATAAGATTGATTGATGTAAAAAGAATGTTCATTAGATTTGCCTTGAATCGTTGGTGTTTGATTTGATTATTGGGGTGAAGTATATTTTATATGTTCATTGATGAGCTCTTTGCTTAGGGACAAGCAAAGGTTTGGCTTGGGGGAGTTTGATATGTCCATTTTATATAGTGTTTTACCCCCGTCCCTTGGTCGTTATTAGTAGTGTTTTTGGCTCTTTTGGGCCACTTTTATTACTAATTTGTGTTTTCCAGTGTTTTCGTAGTTTTAGTTGTATTTTACAGGAAATTGCGCTCTTAGAGCATTTTCCCGGGCTTTATGGATCAACTACGGAAGCTAGAAGGACACGGCCACTTTTGGAGCCCAGGATCGGTGAGAGCCGGTGATTAAGGGCTCGGTAATTGGGATCCCGAGGTATTCGAACCAAGTGTTCAAGACCCAAAGAGGAAATCCGGATTGGGCCGAGAAATCAAGCCCAATCAAAGTCCGAGCCTCAAAATGGAGCAAGGGCCCGATCGGGCAACCTCTAGCACGATCGGGCGCGGCGCTGCTGGTGATGTGCGTGGCTATAAGCGCGCCCGATCGTGCGAGCATCTAGCACGATCGGGCGATGCTACTGGGAAGGAACGCAAGAAAAAGGCGGGCCCGATCGGGCGGCCCTTCGCCCGACCGGGCGCGTGTTTTTATTAGCCCGATAAGTTTAGTTTAAATTTTTGTTTTTGGAAACGTTTAAGTACGATTTTTGTACGGATTTTTAGATTACTTTCTTTCTTAGACTTTCTCTCTCTACTTAGAATTTTTCTCTCTCTTAATTCTTCTCTCAACTTTTGTTCTTAATTGTTTCCATTAATTCCAGATTTCTTTTTGGTAACAATTTCTTCCCTTTTAATTTCAGCTATTTTACTTGCTTCTTTGATTATGCTTTTATTTAATTATTTGATTAGTTTAGTTATGATGATGTGTGAGTAGTTTCATTCTAGGGTTTATGGGGATCTATAATTAATATGAAGGGATAGTATGTTATTATTGATTATTTATATTGCATGATAATTTCTTATTGAATTGTTTTAATTCTTTGCAATTAGATTATGAATCGAGCAGATGTAATTTGATTGTGAATGTTTAGCAATATTGAATTGATGAATCGAGCAGATGTTAATTTAATATTAAAGGCTATTTTCAATAGGAACTTAGATCTAGTAAATTGCGAGAGCCTGTTAGATCTATGTTGATTAATAAATTGCGAGAGCCTGTTAATCATGTTATTTGTGCATTGTTAATTATTAATTACTTCGTTCTATCCCGAAATATTAATTGTTGGTGAACCTGTGACCCTAGGCTTCCTTATTATTATTTCTTTTCTCCCTAAACTTATTCTTCGTAGTATAGAATTTATTCCCAAAAATATTGGTTACTTAGATAATTTAGACTATAATAATTAATTAGGAGTAAAAATATATGTTTCCCTGTGGAGTTCGACCCTAATTCCCTATCTACTTTAGTTAGAGGACTTAGGTAATTATTTTTTTTATTAGGGGATACGACTTTACCCTGTCAGGACGAGTCCTCCTCGGTCCAACGCTGCGGCTCATACCAACCCAAGGACTCGTTCCAACGCTCAAAGCCCGTCTTTGAGCATCCATTCTCTCCCCCAAACTCATAGAGGGACCCCTCAAACGGGACCCTCCACCGAGGAAATTGCGAGAGCTGTGGCAGTCTTCATAGAGGCCATGAAGGCTGGAATGATGCCACCGCCTCGTGACCGATCACCTTCGCAAACTAGGCATCAGTGGAGGAGAACCGGACAAGAGGGGGAGAGACTTCAATCCTTCAAGGAGTTGGAGGAAAATTAGGAGGAGGATACTTGGAGAACCGAGCGAGAAAGACAAGGAAACTCGCATTTCTTCAAGGAATTTTCTACTCAGCTCACTCTAAGCAAGACTCACAGAAGCGGCAGTTCTTCCTTTCGGCCAAAATCTGCTCGCCAAAGCGTCCTCGACCGTCTCGGTCACAGGTAGTCGAGCGTGCACAGTCGCCTCTCCTTCCCAGGGACCGAGGCCTGACCTTCTGACCAAGGAACAAAAACCACTTCTACCTCTATGAGAGGGCGGAGAGCAGTTCCTTCGGTTAGAAGCAAGGGCAAGGCCGTGATGCTTTCCACCAGTTCTCCATTCGAGCAATGGATTCTGGAAGAGCATGTGCCGACGGTTAAAATTCCGTCGCACATTACTTACGATGGGAATTTGGATCCAAAGGACCACATTGCCTCTTACGAGGGGCATATGCACCTGTACCCCAGGTCCGAAGCGACCTGGTGCAAATACTTTCTTACTACTCTCAAGGGGGTCGCGCAAACGTTGATTTCCAAGGGGGTGAAGGAAGGCTCCATAACTGGGTGGGACGACTTGTCCACCAAGTTTAAAAGCAATTTTTCTACGGCAAATCGCCGAGAGAAAACAAATGCAGAGCTCATGGGCCTGCAGCAAGGGGAGGACAAAAGCCTTCGCGACTACCTGACTCGCTTCAGCAACGAGTCGTCCATCATTTCTTGGCTGGATAAAGGGTTGGTCGTTTTTGCTCATCAGCACGGCCTTCGGACTGGTCCGTTCTCCGACTTCATGGTCATGAATTCACCCCAGACCTTGGAGGAGGCTCTGAGTGCCTCGGACAAGTTCATCCGAGTCGAGGAGTGGAACAAAACAAAAATCCAACCTCAAACTGGGGGCGGGAAACAAAAACAACAATCGACCGAAGGACAAGGCCAGAAGTCGAAAGGAAAGGCAAAAGCCTCAGAACAAGCTTCGGCCAACGAGTCGAAGAAGGAAAAATCTGCACCTTACCTGGGCAGATATGAATCCTACACTCCGTTCGCCCTCCCACGCGCTAAGATCTACAGTGTGACGAAGGGAGAGCAGAGTTACCGAAAGCCAAGACCACTTCCCCAGTGCAATCAACAGAAAAATAAAAACCTTTGGTGTGAGTTCCATGAGTCACCGGGACACAACATCGAAGAATGTATCCAGCTGAAGGAACAAATCGAGGATATGGTCCAGAAGGGATATTTGAAAAAATATATTGCAGATCACTGAGAGAAAAAAGAGGCTGAGAAGTTTGAGAAAGACTCTCGGCAAGAGCTGGACTTCCCCCAAAAGAGCAACAACAAATCTTTAGAGGAAAAATTTACCCCGATACATGTTATTTCCGGGGGGGACATGTTCTCGAAGGGAGCATCAGCGTCACCTTAGGGATATGACCCACTAGGTGAACAATGCTGATGTCCAACCTCCTCAGTCACCGGCGCCGAACATGACGTTCTCAGCCGCTGACTGCTGGGGGGTGACATTCCTTCACGAGGATCCCTTGGTGATTGTTGCAACAATTTCCAACCACGATGTCTCCAGGACTCTCGTGGATGGAGGCAGCGGAGCAAACATTTTGTTCCGAAAGGCCTACAATCAAATCAAGCTGAAGCCCAAGCACCTCACGCCAGTGCCCTATCTGGTATCTGGATTCAATAGAGCTTCAACTTATCCTGACGGGAAGCTTGATGAATAAAAAGTTATACCGCAAGTGCACGGTGTCTGTTGTTAGCAGAGACTTAACAAATACGGGTCGAATCCCACAGGGAGACAGGTTCTATTAGTTTTAGCCCAATTATTATAAACTATTGCAATAAACGAAGAGTGGTTTTATAGTTAATTAACTAAAGTATGACAATAATAAAAATAAGGTTGCTCTCAGATAATTAAAATCTAGGGCAAACGTTCGGTCCACCATGCTTATACCAAACCAAGAAATGCAAACAATCCATTAATAAACAAATTAGGTCGAATAATTAAAGCACTTATTAATCCTACGGTCGGGAATTAACACTTACGAATTAACATATGTAGTTCGGTTGCTAACATAATTAAATGCGCCAATTATAATTAAGCCTCTAAAAATATGATCTTTCAATTCTAATTTTTATTAGCTAAATAATTAACTCATGATATTGGCCAATTACATGAATCAAACAATAAAGCACAAATCAATTGGAATTATTCAAACCCTAATTCATAAATTTATAAATAATTAAGCACAAATAATCATGGTATAAACATGGCTTCCCTCACTTAACCCTAGAAAACGACTACTCACTCATAATTGAAATAAAAAAAATAAAAGAGATAAATAAACTTGAATTCATAATTAATAAAATAAATAAAGAACGAAAAGAATAATTGTAATACCTCGATGATTGAATTAATGAAGAATGAAAAGCTAGGGTTCAACAATGGAGAGAAAGAAAACTAAGAAGCGTTTAATCTAGAAAAATAAAGCATAAGAGAGGAAAACAAAATCCCTCAAGTATTTATATTCAAGTCTAATTCTAAGCTAATTAAAATAAAATAAATAAATAAATAAATGCATAAGCCTTCGTTCTTTTCCGTTTCTAACTCGAATTCGCTTCCGTAAGGCCCATAGCGACTCTCGTGGATGCTATTTTCATTTTCCATGCATAGAATCCTTAGAACCAACATCCACGAGCATAAATCCCTCGATAAATGAACTCGATCCATCGATTTCCATTCAAATATCATCCGAATCATCTCTAAACACTTCGAAAGCTTCCAAATGACTATGGAATCATCTGAAACATTAAGAAAAACACAAACAAAGGTAATAGAGCGACATATAATGACTTATGCAGACATAACTCTAAAATCGACTAAGAAGACTATGAAAAAGCTCTAAAACTAGCATAAATGTACCTAAATAAAACTATATAAATATGATTTATCAAATTCCCCCAAGCTAAACCGTTGCTTGTCCCTAAGCAACACTAGACTCAAGACGGAGAAATAAGACAAACAGGACTTCCAGGGAACCAGAATAAGACCGACTCGACTCTCGAGCAAACTATCAAACCAAAGTTAGTGAAACTGAAATATGGCTTGGATACATATAGAACCACGTAGCACTCATAATCTTGCAATTAACTCTCCAATCTAGAGGCCACAAACAGTCTCTTTCCAAGCTAGTCTCCGCCGATTTCCTGTAGATATGCTGAAGTAGAGCACGAGAGGTGCCCTACTAGCTAGGGTTATAACAAACACTCAACCTATACCATGTCGAGCCGGAATGCCACAAATACTCTTTAACTTTGACTCAAAACTCATTTCACTCAATCATAACTTATGCACGAAGATCAAAAGGTCTTTATGAGGGTTGTAATGGGGCTAGGGTGAGAGGTAGGATAAACAATTTGGGAAATGTGATAGGTGAGCTAACTAGGAGAGTGATAATGATAGTCCACAATAACAACACAATTGAATGCATGTCAAAGATAATCTTGTTTAGCATCTTGCCTCCCCATACACCATAAAGATCAAAACAAAAATCACAATACACCAAAGTGATTTAATATCCTCTTCTTCCCTTCTTTCTTCAACCTTCTTTTTTCTTTTTTTTTCATCATTCTCTTATTTTTTTTTATACCCCATTTATTCTGCTTTTTCTCTTATTTTTGTTTTTTTTTTTTGTTTTTTTTTTCTTTTTTCAAAATCTCCTTCATTGCACCATGAACCAAATATTTAGCCAAATAAAAATCACAAATCACAAATAGACCACTCTCCCAAGCTAGACTTGGGAATAGTAACCAATTGAGGCCGAAGGCTTGTAATATGTTTAATTCAATGAAGGATAAAGCTCAACATGGGTAGCAATTAAGGAGAAAATGTACAAAAATAACTTCTGGAGGCTGAAATTAAGAAAAAGAAAGACCTTTATCATTTCAATCGTACACTCATCACAACCGAATTACTACGAGTCTTAAGGCAAAATCAAGATCAATGTCGCACCAGGAACTATCACACATACAAAAATATATACTGTTATAAATGTGACAGTCAATCAATCAGGTTTCAAAAAATCACATGGCTTGGGGTCTACAAAGTCTCGACTAGCTAGACTCAAAAAGAGCAAAACATCTTACCACAAACCTATTAATCACAAGCTACATTGCTACGCAGTTATCAACGTATAAAGCACACCGACCGAATTTCAAAATCATAACTATGATGAGCAGAAGCTCAAGAGAGTCTAATCTAATCCGCACATGGTTCGAAGTCAAACAAGTGTAAGATAGGCACAAGAATACATTAATCAAAAGCACAACTAAACTAAGAAAGAAATACATTTTTTTTGTTGCACGTAAACTCCCACTCCTAATGAATGGTACAAACCGTACAACAGTCCTAAGAAAGCAATAAAAACTACACTATGAAAGCAATTAAAGATAAGTATCCCTCCCCCAAGCTAGAATGAAGACAGTGTCCTCACTTTGTACGAGCATACAAAGGAGAAAGGAAAGGTATGGCTCACTCAAAGGGACTCGCTACTACCATTAGGTATGGTATCAGTGACAACAGCAGAAACAGTGGCCCTAGGAACTCCAACATGGCGACGCAAATCACGAATCTCAGCATATAGATCCTGTACATATCCTTCAATGGTGGTAAGTCGTGTGAGAACTGAATCCTGAAAAGAAAGACAAGAATCCATAAAATTTTTCAGTTGCTCATCAAGAGTGAGTGGAGCTGTCGTAGTACTAGAAGTTGGGTTACTAGAGGATGGTGGAGGGCGAGAATGAGAGGCATCTTCAACCACTGGGCTATTTGGTCTAGCGGCCGCCAATTGACAATGTGAACAAGGGAAAGTACGTTGCACTTCACCGTGTACCTCTATTCGCTCGGTGATCTCACGTGGTTTCCAACTTAGACTACTTGCATCGTGGGGTGCATCATTCGGGAAAATGTCGTACACCAACCTTGCATCGGAACTTCGGCAACCCTTAACAAACCAAACATATCGACCCTTGGACTGATGAAAAAGCCAACCAAATCTGTCCATTGCAGCCTGATTGATTTAGTTGGTGGATTCAAATATCTCTTTATTTTTCAAATCAACATATAATGTCGCACACAACACATAAACAAATCCACCCATGGAAATATCACCCTTATTCAGATCCCGCTCCCATAAAAATGCTTCAATGAGGAATTTGGCGAGATTAAGGCTTGCATTTCCATGAGATCTAGTAAGCCACCATAGAAGTTTTAAGTCCAATGTAGTCACCTGGCCGGCCTCACTCTTGGGTCGAAATAACTGAAGTATAAATCGATATAGCATGCTAAGAGCTGGACAACCAATAGAACTAGATTTGCTAACACCGGACTCCCAATATGTTCGACCTGTTATTTGTTTCCAAAAAGTGCTCGAGTCGAAGAGAGAGTAGCTTGGACTTCCCTTGAATTTAATAAACTCTTTCGGACCCATGACACCTTTATTCGGCCATACAAAAGCCATGTTCACATCGTCCCACGACATAAACTGCTCGTCTCCATCCAAAGAAAATACCACATCTCCCTTATTTGATTGGACATCAGTGAGGCAAGAAATTCAATGACAAGTGATGGATATATATCATGATCAATATGAAGGACCTTAATCCATCCATGTGTTATTGCAATGCTATCAAAGAACCATTCAAACCCAAGGTTTTTAGCATCTGAGAGAGAAAAGTAAAGAGTGTGTCCCATGGTTCGATCTTTGAGCTTCCTTAAACATTGTTTTTGAGACTCGGTTAACCAAGAAAGTGGAGTTAATGGTGATGGTGCTTTAGGTGTAGAGGTTTTAGAGGTTGGCTTAGATTGTGTAGGTCATTTTGTGGGTTTGGTCGGTGGTTTTTTTGTGATTTTTCGAGAATATGCGTTGGGGTCATAAAGTGGCTTAGGTGCCGAAGAGGTTTGTGTTCTTGTCCTCATGGTGAAAGTGATGAGAAATTTAATCAACAAAGAAACACAAACCAATGAACAAGAATAATCCAAAGCCAAATATGTGTCACCCAAAATAATTCACAACCAATCCACACAAAAATTATACACAAAATCAATACTACCACACCAACTTGGGAAAATAGATGATAAAAAGGTTAAAACTCAAGAATAAGCACAATTGTAGAATAGTAAGAGATGAAAAATTTGAAATTTATACCTCTACAATGAGAATCGTGCATTAAAAATATGTCAAACCTCTTATAATAGTC